GATGACCCAGGACGCAGCGAGTCGATTCCTTCTTTTTTCACTGACATGACTGACATGGTTCTAGAATATTCTAGAGCATTCTCCAGCTACTTGTGACGCTAGTGTCTTTTTCGCAGACCGTTCGCATGTCTTTTCGTGCCAATAATCTCATTTGGTTTGAATCTCAACAGGAGGAAGTCGTGCACGTGCCTAAAGTGATGCAACATGAGCGCCAGCACCACTTCCACGTTGAGGACTTCCCCCCGAATCATTCTCTCTTGAAGTTGTATTCATCCACCTTCTTTGTTGGATGTCGCAAGTGCGAAAACACACAGCTGAAGACTTGTGTGAATTTTCCCTGTTGTTGGTATGTTGTGTACAGCCGAGTTCTGTCCATGGTACATTCTACTGCCATTTGGGTTTACAGGGCCCTTGAGCTTACCGCGCTTACGCGACGTGAAAACGCCGTTGGACGTCGCGGTCGGGACCAATTTCACATTGGTAGCGGAGCAGGTTCGGGTTCGGAGATTCAGTTGTGTTTCGTAGGGACAATCAGCGTGCAGGTATGCAATGGTCGCCGCCTGCAAGAGTCATAGGTCAAGAAGGTCAAAAGCAGAATCTATGGTTGCTTTGTGGTAATTAATGTTCCTGTTTTGGTAGCTGCCCAAAACGTCAGACCAGCAACCGCATCCGAGGCCTTAGCGCTTAGCATTTTGCATGGTGATCCAATTGTTCCAGGTGAGATTGTAGCAGGTACAAGTCAGCAATCGTTCCTAGATGCCCGCATGAGAGGCCATGAAGAGGTTGATCAGCCTGTTGCGAAGGACCATCCTATTCGCCGGAACGATTTCCGCCTGTTCCGGAAGACAAAGAGGACATCTGGCAGATTAGCCCTCAGATCTTTGGCGAGATTCCTGAAGGAGAAGAAGAAGGAGAAGATATCAGTGAAGATGCCGGAGATCTCGGTGAGACTCCAAGTTCCGCCGCATCACGAGGCACAGCGCGCCGGAGGCCTGCGTCCTCAGCAGCCGGTCCATCGCCGAGAGCCGTCCGCCCCCGGACTGGAGAGCCGGAGTCAGAGCCATCGCGAGATTCGAGAAGATCATCAAGTGAGACTCCAGCATCATGGCCGAATGTAGCAAGCAATCTGGATGATTTGCCACTTTCAACCCGACAACATTTGGAGAGCGTCGCAGCTTGCAGAGCAAGATCCTTCGACAACTGCTAGTTTAGCAGCAGGTTTTTTTGGCACAGTACACAGAAGACAATGAGAAGCGAGTGCTTCGCAGCATTGACTTCGAGACAGCGTCGCCAGAGACCCAGGAAGGGCTTCGCAAAGTAATGGAAAAGGAATGGGAGAAGTTCCTACATTTCGGAGCCGTTGTTGTGATTGAGGGAGCCGAGAAAGATGCATTGCTGCAGCAAGGACATGTCATGATTCTAAGCAGTTCAAGAAGCATGCGCCTGACTATCAGCCGAAGTGGAAGAGCCGATTGGTGTCACGCGGAAACTTTGAGCAAACCGAAGGTATTCGCTCTGATTCTCCGACCGGAGATAGCGATCTGCGTATGACCATTACTGCATGGGCTTCCGTTGTTGGAACCAAATTGCACTCAGCAGATGTGAGTAATGCTTATTTCCAGTCTGAGCCATTGGATCGAGTACTTCTTTTGCGACAGCCACGAGGCGGACTGCCTCAAGTCGATCCCAATGCCGCACTGTTGGTACAAGTCCCCGGGCACCGGCTCACAGACAGTGGAAGATCGTTTTGGCTTCGCCTGTCCTCAGATGCCAAGAAAGCCGGACATACGCCAAGCATTATCTACCCCGCATTCTTTTTACGAGCTCGATGAGGAGAACCGATGCGTCGCCATGCTCACAGCACACGTCCATGACTTGTTGTACAGCTACTTGCCAGAAGCAAAGGGGGTGATGGAATCTTTGTTAGGCGCCTACGACAAGGTTCATTGGAGGACACGAACTTCCGCTACTGCGGTAAAGCTTTTGGTGAACAGAACGCTACGCTGACGATCCACACAAAGCTGGACAGCAGCCAGAAATTGTCAGATAGATTGAGCCCAGATCAGATCATGAAGTTGAGATCTGTTGTTGGCTCGCTGGCATGGGTAGCGAGACAGGGACGCCCTGATTTGGCGCACCGGGTCAGTTATCTCCAAACAGCGATCAACGGCGCGACCGTTGGACTATTGCATGAATGCAATAAAGTCGTAGATTTGGTGCACAAGCAACTCGAAGATGTTGTGTTTCGATTTCCAAGAGAGCATTTGAAGACAACCGGTTGAAACCGGTTGGCGCAATGTTGGTATTATCACAGTGACAGACGCTTCATTCTGCAATGAGAAAGGTTTCCAAGGACGTGCGCACCTTTTTGGCCAATGTAGAACAGATGAAGGACGAGAATGTGTACATTTACCACGTGCTGCCATTAGGCTTTTCGTCAACGACCATCAAGAGAGTGTGTCGTTCGACCCCAAGCCGAGACATATTCGTTGCAATCCGGTATAGAGAGCGGAGGCAAAATCCGTGCCCTTATCGCTGAGATGAAGGGATGTTTGCGCAGCCGCAAGGACTGGGAATCCATCCTGTGTCCCGCATTTGCAATTTTCAGATTGCCGTTCGCTTTGCGATCACCTCGACGCAGAGACACTTGCCAAAGTGTCAGACAAGCGACTCGGGATTGAGTTGGCCGCAATTCATGAGAACTTGTGGCAGGGACCTCACAGAACATGGAACATTTTCCCGAACGGAGGAGATCGTCTTGACTGGATCAGCGCTCGCGCAATGTTGAGTGATTGTTTGACAAAGAGCCTGAAGCCGGACCTACTACTTTCGGTCCTTCGCTCATGTGTCTACCAAGTTGACAAGAACAAGGAGAAACGACGAGCAGAGCGATGAATCGTAGAAGAGCATAGATTTGCCGAAGAAGAGAAGTTTCACTACCTTTGAACGCAGAACGCACTACGGTACTACTTGTAGAAATTCCTGTTTAGATGGCAGATTGTACATAGCTCTCGGACAGACTCGAAGAACCGGTTGAGTGTGAATTTTCCCTGTTGTTGGTATGTTGTGTACAGCCGAGTAGTTCTGTCCATGGTACATTCTGCTGCCACTTGGGTTTACAGGGCCCTTGAGCTTACCGCGCTTACGCGACGTGAAAGCACCGTTGGACGCCGCGGTCGGGACCAATTTCACATTTGTCTAAACCACTGCTAGGGTTCAGGACATTAGACTCATTAGATCACTGACTCCGAAGTGACTGTGCACACTTGACGCCTATTGCTAGGAGGTGGTCGACGTGCCTGTGGAGCAGCATGTCGAACAAGTGGTTCATGTGCCTGTTGCACCTGGGCTCCGAGATACTTTTGGATATTTCCAATGTTGTTTCTCTTCCGCTGACCACGGGGATCAGATTAATGTTGTGAATGTGTCATGACGATAGTTCTATTTTTTTCGTTTTTTTTGGGTTTTCCTGTCCTCAACGAACATTTTACCAAGGTAAACAAAGTTGAGCGATTGGTCCACAACCCTGTGGACCTGATGGTGGAAGTTCCCCGGCCGGTTGTCATCGAGAAGACCATCGAGGTGACCTTTTGGAGAATGGAATCGGGCACCTGTCGTGCTTTTTGTATTCTTGTATTGATTTTCCAGGTGCCAAAGATCCAGATTGAAGAGAGGACCATCAAGGTGCCAAAGGCCAGGCCTTTGAATTGTTTTGGCAATGGCCAGACCTGCGCTTGGAGGGACTTTCCACCTGATGCTTTGAAGGTCATGAGCACGATGGTGGACACAGTGGTGCAGAATCAAATTGAGACGATTGAGGTGGTGAAGCCGACTGTGGCTTTTGGCCTAGATTTATGCCACTGAAATTCCTTAAATATGTGGCTCTGTAACTCTAAAAACTTTATATACTGTAAACATTGTGCAGTAATCATCAGAGCTTTCAGAAGCTTTGGCAAGGCTTTGATGTCTCTCAGCACTGAGGTTCGCAAAGTGGTTCAGCGCAAAAAGCCTGTGATCCAAGAGCAAGTGCAGCATGTCCCAAAGGCCATTTCCTTTTGGAAAAATTTTTGAAAATGTTTTTTCTATTGTCAAGGAGCCAGTGTTTTGGAGCGAGCAGGTAATGGTGCAGCACGTGCCCGTTCAAAAGGTGGTCCAGAAGGAGGCAACCTCCTTGCTCCTGCAGCATGCATACTTACAAGATTATGTCAGGTGTAGGTCTATATAAACATTGCTGCTATGAACAAGAATATGCCAGATCTCAATTCAAGTGCAAGGAAGGTCATAGTTATATAGACAGTGAGTGCGCCTTGGGTTTGCCATAGGTTCAGGTGCCACAAGTCCAGTATATCGACGAGGTCGTGGATGTTCCATTGGTGAAACACAGGCCGCTGCTGAAAGACAGCCTATATAATAACATCTCAATTCCTCCCCAAATCCTGCACGAGTGTTGGCTTGAGAGGCAAGTGCCAGTTCCTGTGAAGCAGCAGAAACATGTTGAGGCCAGTTCTTTGGATCGATTTTCAAGTTTTCCATGGCCCAAAATATTGCATGCATGCAAAGGTGCCCCAGGTGGAGTATGTGGACCACCACATTGAGATCCCTGTAGCCAAGCATGTGCCCAGCTGGCTGCACTTTCAAGTGTTTCTCAAACAGCTTTAGCTCCGTGTCATTTCTTCAAGTTTCTCGTATCATTGTATCATTTTCTATTGTCTATCTATGTTTGAGGGATATCCGGCTGATGCAGGTGCATGTCCCCCACGTTCAGACAGTGCAGAAGACTGTTGAGGTGCCTCAGGTTCAGTACGAGGACCAGATTGTACAGGTGCCAGTGGCGAAGCACGTTCAAGTGCCAGTTGTCCAGAAGGTTCAGAAGACAGTGGAGGTGCCTCAGATCCAGTACGAGGATCAGGTTGTCCAGGTGCCTGTCCAGAAGCAGGTGCAGGTTCCTATGATCCAGAAGGTCCAGAAGACTGTCAAGGTTCCTCAAGTTCAGTATGAAGACCAGATCGTGGACGTACCAGTGACCAAGCAGGTGCAGGTGCCAATGGTCCAAAAGATTCAGAAGACCGTAGAAGTGCCGCAAGTGCAATATGAGGACCAAGTCGTGCATGTCCCT